ATGTTGTAGAAACATAAATTTATAGATATGTTGTAGAAACATAAATTAATAGATATGTTGTAGAAACATAAATTTATAGATTTGTTGTAGAAACATACATTTATAGATGTGTTGTTGAAACATAAATTTATAGATTTGTTGTAGAAACATACATTTATAGATGTGTTGTTGAAACATAAATTTATAGATTTGTTGTAGAAACATACATTTATAGATGTGTTGTTGAAACATAAATTTATAGATATGTTGTAGAAACATAAATTAATAGATATGTTGTAGAAACATAAATTTATAGATATGTTGTAGAAACATACATTTATAGATATGTTGTAGAAACATACATTTATAGATGTAGTACCCTAAACCGCCACAAGAGGGAGACTCCGAGGCATGAATGAGATACAGTTAAGAGGTTTTTGGGGCCATCATCCTGACCTGCACGCTGATAAACCTTTAACTTCCTGCTATCATAAGATGGAGGCCCAGTGATGTTTGTCTGTTAGCAAAACATCTCCTGAACCACTGAACGTTTGTCTACAAGAGAAAACTTCTGAAGTCAACCCAAGTTGAAGTTTGGTGTGGTTGTAGCTGAGGGTCATCCCCGGCACATCATCTGAGAGTCGACCATTTTAGATCTGTTTATAAAGTGACGAGTGAAAATTAATCGTTCAGAGCAAACGTGCTCACAGGCGCCACTCAACCCTCAACCTGACGAATAATTATTAATATTTGTGTCCACGACAACGAGTCGGGCTTCGAGCGTTTTCATTTAATTGTGAAATATTTAATGAGACTGCAGCATAAAAATCATGAGGTAAATGATACTTTAGATGAGAGAAATAAAGTGTCTGACCTGAAGTTCATGAAACTAATTTAATTATCTAATCTGCACACTATGACATCACTGATTACATCATCACACCTTCATACTGGATCATGCAGCTGTCAGAAAACAATAATTTAATGTTGTAATCTTTTCCTAAATTCATATTGTTTTCATGTTTTTTGTCATTAAACAAAAACCAGCAATTTGAACAAATAAATAAATAAAAACCACCTAAAATATCACTGGAATGTCTAAAAGTTTGTACAAATTTCATTCAGTCCGATCTGAACTAAGTTATCTGATCTTTTTTTATTTTTTGCAGCTCTACGTAAACAAAACTACCGTAATTTTAATGAACTGTATTTCACAAGAAAACTATATGTTTTTTATATTTTAACTTTATATTTCTCTCTTGAGACACCCAAATGGATTTTTGGATTTTCTGGTACCGATGTTGACAGGTGGACGAATAAACAGAGGCAGCAGAAAGAACGTCTTATTTCATGATGTCATAAATATATTATTTAATTAAAACTGCTCCTAATAAAAACGGCTCTTATTAATAAAAACACTCTTATTAATAAAAAACTGCTCTTAATAATAACTGCTCTAACTAATAATAAGTGCTCTTATGAATAATAACGGCTCTCATTAATATCTGCTCTAATTAATAATGTGCTCTTATGAATAATAATGGCTTATGAATAATAACGGCTCTCATTAATAACTGTTCCTATTAATAATATCGGCTCTAATTAATAATGTGCTCTTATGAATAATAACGGCTCTTATTAATAATATCTGCTCTAATTAATAATGTGCTCTTATGAATAATAACGGCTCTCATTAATAACTGTTCCTATTAATAATATCTGCTCTAATTAATAATGTGCTCTTATGAATAATAACGGCTCTCATTAATAACAGTTCCTATTAATAATATCTGCTCTAATTAATAATGTGCTCTTATGAATAATAACGGTTCTCATTAATAACTGTTCCTATTAATAATATCTGCTCTAATTAATAATGTGCTCTTATGAATAATAATGGCTTATGAATAATAACGGCTCTCATTAATAACTGTTCCTATTAATAATATCGGCTCTAATTAATAATGTGCTCTTATGAATAATAACGGCTCTTATTAATAATATCTGCTCTAATTA